CCTTTTTCTTTTTACGTGGTCACACTAAGTTACCATTTTGAATTGCAAATATGATTGTTACTTTTCTGATTAAAATCCTTCAGTGACTTCACATTGCCTTTGAGAGTATTTCCCCTTCTCTTTAAGATAAGTCCCAATTTCTTAGCCTGACATTCAAGGCTTTTCAAGACTGCCTATAAGCCTAACTTTCTGGCATTATCTTCTTATGGCATCCACCCCTCTGTATTTTTGGCTACTGTAAAACATTCTGTTTTTTTTCCTTCCTTTATATTTGTCAAACTCCTACTTTTTTTTAGTATATACACATCATTACTTATAAAATTGCCTTGAGATTCTTTTTAAATATTTGTTACCCTCGCTAGGCTAGGCTATGATTTCATGAAAATTGTCAATTTGGTCTCATTCCTTTTGTATATCTCTAGCACCTAGATGAATACCTGATGAATTGTTAACACGGAGTTAATGTTTATTGAAGGAGTGAATTTTGAGTATGAGGTACTGATAATGAAAAGTACAAATGAAATTCTAAGAAATATTCACATGGAGAACAAATTTGACTTCATATAGGTAGATTGGGTTGGACCTTGAAGCCTAAAGAGGAAGTAGACAGACATTTATGGGGAAAGTCCAGGTGGATGAGATCAGATTGGGGAATGAATGAAGAGTGAATCAGATCAGTTAACTCTAGCTTTGGAGTATGGATCAAGGGAGATAACTCTGAAAAGGGAATTGTGGTAATGGGTCTTTGGTGTTAGGATGAGGTTTATGCCACTTCTGTAGATAGTTATTCAAGACTTGCCTTCATGAATGACATATATATTTCTGTAATGTATTGGAAACTTCTCAAGGGAACCAAATTTGGTTTGGAATTGTGAGGCATTACCATACTGCCTACTTTGTAGGAAATATTGAATGAATTGACTTTTTCGAGTTTGAAAGGACTTGGCATTAAATTTATGCATTTATAGATTTATAAATTAACTTAGGGATAATTGGCATGTTTATGATGTCTTTCTATGCAAGAACATGGTATGTCTTTCTTTTTGTGTAAGTCTACTTTTCTGTTTTTGAGGTGTATTTTTAAGTTTTAAATGTACATTTTAGTCTTTAGCATTATAGTTTCCTTTGTCTTCTTTAATGATATTTGCTCCGTGTTCTACCTTATCTAATATAAAGATTGAGGTTTCTGTTTTATTTTTTATTATATATTGTTTTGTATGTTTCTGCCTGTCCTTTTATTTTTAATCTGTCTGAATCACTTTATTTTAGGTATGTCTCTTGTGTAGAGCATAGAGATTGATTTTGCTTTTTTAGCCAATCCGAAATCATTTTCTTTTAATAGGTGAGTTATGCCCATTTATATTTATTGATAAACATGCTGTGTTTGGGCTTGTTTCTGTCATATAACTTTCTGATGTTTACTGTAGGTATATATATGCTCTCTATATATATGCTATATATATATATGCTGTATATATATGCTATATGCTCTGTTTTCTTTGTGCCTTCCTCCATTTCTTCTCTTTGGTATTTTGGAAGGTTTGATTTTCATTCTAGTTGTTACTTTTAATCAAAGATATATCTTTGCCCTTCTTTGGATACTGCCTTTGTTCCCTACTAAAAGCAGTACTAAAATTATCTAGTAACTGTTTCTTTCCTTTTCTATATCATTTAATTTTAGTTACAAGTATTAATGCTAATCTCTGTGGTCTTAAGTATGTTTGGGTTTATACTTATTGATTTATGAGCCTCAATATGTATCTTGTTACTCCTAGCTACTATTTAGGAAGTTAGTGAATCAGTTTCATCTTTCTCCTAATTTTTTTTTGGTTTTTTTTGCATGTTATTTTTACATTCCCATAGCTTATATCATTTATATACTGTTTTGTTAGTTTTATCCCCACTTAAGAAAAAAAAGACACTTTTTTAGAGCAGTTTACGTTCACAGCAAAATTGAAAGTACAGAGTTCCCATATACCCCATGACCCCACACAGGCACAGCCTCCCCTGCTGCTAACATCCCCAACCAGAGTGGTACATTTGTTACAATTGATGAACCTACATTGACACATCATTATCCCCCAGAGTTCATAGTTTTCATTAGGGTTCACTCTTGGTCTTGTACATTCTGTGGCCTTTGGCAAATGTATAATGACTTGTATCCACCATTATAGTATCATACAGAGTAGTTTCACTGCTCTTAAAATCCTCTGTGTCCTTCCTATTCATCCCTCCCTTCTCCCTAAACTCTGGCAACCACTGATCTTTTTAATCATCTCTGTAGCTTTGCCTTTTCCAGAATGTTTCAGGCAGTTGGAATGACACAGTATATAGCCTTTTCATATCAGCTTCTTTCACTTAGTAATATGCACTTTTTCTCCATGTCTTGTCATGGCTTGCTAGCACATTTCTTTTTAGCACTGAATGATATTCCGTTGTCTATCACAGTTATTTATTCATTCACCTACTGAAAGATATCTTGGTTGCTTCCAAGTTTGGGCAGTTATGAATAAAGGCGCTGTAAATGTCCATGCGCAGGTTTTTGTGTGAACACATTTTCAGGGAGTGTGATTGCTCGATCATTATGTAAGAGTACATTTAGCTTTGTAAGAAGCTGCCAAACTGTCTTCCAAAGTGGCTGCACCATTTTGTGTTCTCACCAGAATAAATGAGAGCTCCTGTTTCTCCTCATCCTCATCAGCATTTGGTGTTATCAGTGTTCTGGATTTTGGCCATTCTAATAGATGTGTAGTGGTATATCGTTGTTTTGATTTGCAGTTCCCTAAAGAGATACGATGTTGAGCATCTTTTTATATGCTATTTATCATCTGTATATCTTTGGTGAGGTGTCTATTCTGGTCTTTTGCCCATCTTTTAATTGGTTGTTCTTTCTTTTGAGTTTTAAGAGATCTTTGTATATTTTTGATAACAGTTCATTAGATTTGTCATTTGTGAATATTTTCTTCCAGTTTGTGGCTTGTCTTCCCTTTCTTTTGCTGTCCCTATCTTTTAGTCATAGTTCTACAGTTAGATATATTTCCTTTGCACTCCCAGTTCTTAATGTTAAAGCTTCTTCATCTATTTTTTTTTTTTTTTTGGTTATGTGAAACTTATTCTCTGCTCTATCACTCAGTCAGACTCATGGGAGAGATTTTCTAAGGTCTTACAGGTTTATAATTCTTTGTGGCCTTACATTTGAAGGAGACTTTGGCTGGATATAAAATACTCAGCTCACATTTTTTTCCCTTGAGTTTCTTAAAAATGTTACTTCATTGTTTTGTAGCATAAAATATTGCCGTTGAAGTTTAATACTAATATGATTTTCTTTCCTTTATAGGTGACTTGGCTTTGTGTTTAACATTTTTATTATGATAAGTTTACATATTTGTTTTTGTTTCCCTTGTTTAAATGAATCGCGTTTCCCCAGACTATTAGGAGAGGTTCCTGTGAAGGAGTAGGATGATCCAGGATAGTTTTCTCAATTTACATTTGAGGGGCTTTCTTCTCTGCTGTTGCTGGTGTACCTTTGTAGCCACTTCTGTCTCTCAGAGGTAAGCCTGAGAAGGGTTTAAGAAGGGCTTTTCCTCTAGAGCAGTGTTTCTGAGAGCTTTACAGGCCTAGTATTTCACCATAAGATGTGTATTTTCTCTTTATGGTACTTTCCGTGACCTGTTTCCTTTGGAACGTTGCCACCCTCTTTCTCCTTTCATATCTGATCCTTCTCTCTCCCTGTTATCATTATTTCTGTTTTCTGTCCTGCAATTTGGTTTCACATTCCAAGAGTTTTTCCTTTAGGGTGAGCCTCTGTCCTTCTGAAGGGGGCTCTTTGCTGAATACTTCTGAGGTCCTTGAGAGTTAGACCTTCATAGGTGTGTTTGCTGACTGCAGGACTGAGTATACAGGTTTTTACACTCACATGCAACGTGGGGCTGGTGAAAACCTTTCCTGTTTTCTGCATTTGTTCTCAGACTTGTTCACCCAATTTTCTCTAAGGATAGAGTTCTCTCTTTATGGAGTATTTGTTAGTAGTTTTGGATTCTGAGGCTTTGTAGAGTACCTCCGTAGTGCCCTTCACTTCCTGCTGCTATCTCTGTGCAGCTGCTGATCCTGCATTGTGGGCACTTTAGCCTGATCCTCTTATATTCTGAGATTTGTGGGTGTTCTCTTAACTTAGTTTTGTTGAAGATGTAGTCATTGGGTTCTTCCGATATCCTAGTTGCTATATTTGGTTTTCAGGAGTTGTTTTTGGGACATTAAAAAGCTATGCTGCCACCACAATTAAGAAGTGACTAACTCATTTTATTAATGTAATTGTGGCTAATATATTGGGAGCTTGGATTTTTAAAATCTGTTTGAAAGGTTAATTTAAGGCTACTTCAAGATATGAAATTGCAGTTTAAAAAAACAGGATTTTAAACATATTTCTGACCTGTTGAGTGGTCAAATATAAATGTAGGATGTGATTTTTGTCATTAACATTGTTCTTGATTTTAAAATGCCAATATGAATTGTTTACCTCTGGTGTTAAGTGGGTATAGACTCCTAGTGGAAATTTTAGATTAATTACAGTATGGTACATGAAGTTATCTATAAACAGTTTTTAAAGTAAATATGAAAAAAACTACTGAATTTTATTGAAATTAGTAAGCATAATTAAATAAATTCTTGCTTGATAAATAAATATGTTCAGAGAAAAGTTAAAGGAAAAAAGACTCAAGTCATTTTATTGTTTACTTTCACATGTAATATATACTCATATTTAATATTTGTATGTTTTATGAAAGAAATGTGAAAATTTAATATGTTAGTTTGGGTTATTTGTGATTTTAACTTGCCTGATTATCTTCCACATAGCAAGTGTTAGATAAACATTTTAAGTGTGAACATTGTAGGAGGGGACAGTACTAATATTTTGCAATTTTATTAGTAAAGCTTATATAGTTTGCTGAATCTAACTTCAAACTATGGAGATCCAAAATAAAATTATCAATTTCTCATAGGAACTGAAGTTAAAAGATGAAGAATGTGAGAGGCTTTCAAAAGTGCGAGATCAACTTGGACAGGAATTGGAAGAACTCACAGCTAGTCTATTTGAGGTTGGTCTATTTACATCTTGGCCAACAACAACATCTTGATTTTTATATATTGATAGAATTGTTTTTGAGGAAATCTTGAAAAAGATATGGTTAGCTTTATGCATATTTATAAGTCTTCTAAGCAAAAATAAAATAAAATCCTTAAGAAATGTAGAGTCTACAACTTAAAATGATGTGAAAAGAAAAAAAACTATGGGCTACCAATATCAAGTTGTTTAAAAATGTATGTGTGGAAAGAAAGAAGACAAATTTTAGTTTTGATTTTTATTTTACCTAATATTTATGGGTTACTTTAGAGTAACTTTATATGACTCCATGACAAAGATGGAAAGCCGTTGAGGTAGTCATCTAATATGGGGTGATTTAAGGAATGTTAGAAGGCATACCTCTTTGTCTCCAATCTGCCACCACCAGGACCAGAATTTCTGCCCAACTAGAGCAGTGTTTCTCAGTAGGGGTGCCACTGACATTGTAGGACATTTAGCATTCTTGGTGTATTAGTCAGAGTTCTTCAGAGAAACAGAAACACACACACACACACACACACACACACACAGAGAAAAACAGAGGCACTCATAAAGAATTGTCTCATGCCATTATGGAGGCTCGCAAGTCCCAGGAGCAGCTGAGTCGGCAAGCTGGAGGGCCAGTGGTATAGTTTGAAGGCCTGTGAACCAGGAAGAGCCAATGTTTCAGTTCAAGTATGAAGGCAGAAAGAATTCTCTTACTTGGGAGAGGGTCAGCCTTTTTGTTCTGCTCATTCCTTCAGTGGATTGGATGAGGCCCACCAACATTATAGAGGACAGTCTGCTTTACTCAGTCTACCGATTTAAATGTTAATCTCGTCCAAAAACACCCTCACAGAAATACCCAGGGTAATGTTTGACCAAATATTTGGGCACATTGTGATCCAGTCAACTTGACACATAAAATTAACCATCACATTAGGCTTTTCCCAAATAGTGCTGGTAATACTCCTTGATCATTTTGACAATTTATAGATATCTCTGGATAGGGGGTGTGGGTGGTGTTGGGAGAGAATAGTACTTCGGTGGTTAAGAACCATTGCCATTAAGTATCTCCTTTGGGTTAAGACTTGGGTCTTTAGAAGTTCTTTATCAAAAACGTTGATGTAGATCATTTGAACAGCTAATGCCGTTATCACTTAGCAATATTTTTTTTTCCAAAGATTTATTCTTAAAATTTTTATTGTAGTAAAATATTTTAGGGGATCCTCCTACTGGTGGCCAGCTGCCAAAAAATAAAAATAAAAATTTAGGGAAAAAATTTTGTTACCTTTTGTTATTTTTATTTATGCAACATTTATTTCAGTTTTGTGGTATGCATATTTTTTTCAAATAGCGTTTTTCATGTTGCTACATAGTCATTCATTGTAATGGTAGTCATAATTTACAAGTGCATGTTCCACAATCTTTATCATCATAAGTAACGTTGCAATCAATATCTTTATATGTATAGGGCTGTCCATGCCCCCTCTGTGCCATTCCCCTTAGCCTTCTCCTGTCTTTTTTAGGTCATTTTCTTTTATGAACATTTTTAAACTAATTTATTTAGTTAGCTACTCAACAGAGATGAGAGGAAAATAAACTAAAGGATGGGAAGAGTGGGAAGTTAAAGATCTACAACAGGAGCTATGTGATTTGTTACATTTTTATATGTAGAAGGGTATACAGAAACATAAGACTTTTTCTTCCACTGTTGTCTGGCTAGAAGAAAATTTTACAATGATATGTGGATACTAGGTAAGAAAGCAAATGTATTAAGCTACTTATGTTAATTTTGATTTCCTGCCTGCTTGCATTTCATTTTAGCCCTGTTTAGTTCCACCTATCTGCACATACATGTATGTTCTGTTAGATGATGTGGAAGGAGAACAAACAGAAGGAAACTTTCCCTCTTGTAGCAGCATGTGAAGGACCAAAAATGCAGTTTGTGCAATTAGTGGAAAAGTATATATAAAAAAATATAGTTTTGGGTTTTCTAACGTTTCCCTATCCCAGCAGTGGCTAATGGCCTCAACACTGTGAATGCTTTCTGGAAGAGAAAGTATATTGATTGAAGATGATTTTAGTAATGAAGAAAGTTGTATTCAAACTAATTATTTATGTACTGTGAAACAAGTGCTAAAAATTTTTCCTAATTGCGTTTGCATGATCTCAGTTTACCATTCTCTTATGAAAAGATTTTTTTTCTTGCATTTTATGTATATGTGTATAATTTTTAGGAATTAAAGATTATTTTGAATAAAGGAAATTTTACACTTTTGATGAACCTAATATGTAAATTTAAATTAGGAGTTTATTATTATGTATGATGAATAATCTTGAATATAATTATACTTTTTATGTAGCACAGTTGAGTCTTAAAAGTATCAGAAACTCTAGTTATATATTTTTCTCCTAACATCTCCAATTTTGAGATAATATAAAATTAAGTCAGTTGAAAGAATGCTTTACAAAGTAGTTTGCATTTAACATGAAAAAAAAGGTAATCTTAAGTTTTTGTTTTATCAGCCAATTTTAGTAAGTGTCTGTGATACATCTAGTTTTCTTTCAACAATGCTATAAGGCATATAGGGAAGATTATTATCATTTTATCTGTGAAGAAAAAGGAGGCATGGAAAGGCTAATGAGCAGTGCTGTGACTCAAATTCATGACCCTGACTCTTGCTTTAAGTACTCTGAAAATAATAAATGGCACTTTGACTTGTCTTAAGCCATCATTGAGGTCTTGCTTTCCTTCATCCTGCATTCAAATTATCACTGAGGTCTTGTGATGTTACCTCTAGAACATAATGCAAATCATCCTCCAAGCCACCATTATTTCTTACTCAGACAAATACATGCCAACGTTTTGATCCTATATGCAATCTGTAAAATAAAAATTTAAGGATATGCCTCCATTATGATGAAGAAACCTAATATTTATTGAGAGTTCCCAATGTGCTAGGCACTTCTCTAAGAGCATATGTACTTATTTATGAATTTTATATATAAACTAACATACATTATAGAACATAAAAGTTTTAAAAGATGAGATAAAAACGCTTAAAAATTTTTTAATACAAAAATATTTTATTCTCACTAAAACATCATTTATACATGTATATTATATATAAATATTTAGTAAGAGCAGTGTGATTGAATATGTTACTTTGTTTTTGAAAGTTGTATTTTAACAGTTTATGATCCAGATGAAAGTCTGGTCTAAGTTCCAGGTTTTTTTTTTGTTGTTGTTTGTTTGTTTTTAACATTTACTTGTACATATTTGTGGGATACAGTGTGTTGTTTCAATACATATGTGGTACAGTGTGTTGTTTCAGTACTGCACAGTGATTCATTTAGGGTAGATAGCATAGTTTTGTACCTGTTAGTCCACCACTTCTCCTCCCCTCACTTCCCTTCCATCCTGGCCTCTGGTGACCATTATTCTACTTTCTACTTCTATGAGAACCACTTTTTTTTCTTTCTTTCTTTTTTTAGATTCCACATAGATGTGAGATCATGTGGTATTTGTCTTTCTGTTTCTGACTTATTTCACTTAACATGATGGTTTCCAGTTCCAGCCATGGTGCTAGGATATCATTTCTTTTTATAGCCAAATAGCAGTCCATTGTGTATATATAATACAGTTTTTAAAATCCATTCATCTGGAGCCCTCTCTGGGTTTTGCGTGGGAGAGGTTAGGAAAGGGAGAAATCACCTGCTGGTGGAACCCAGCAGCTGGTGCCCCGTGTGAGGACCGCCACTTTACTCTCCTCCTCTCCTCCCACTCAGGGGAGCCTTGCCAGCCGCGGGACCATTGGCAACTGATGGCAAAGCTAAGCCTGTGTCTGGGAACCTCCGAGTGTGAAAGGGCTCAACGCCCTGTGGGATCAAGCACGAAAAGGAATTGGGGGCCTTGCTGTTGAGACAAACTGATGTGATCCAATCAACCT